CGCTAAGAAACGAACAGTTCGCGTGTGGAACTATTCATTTGAGTATTTGAGAATGGATGCCTGTATCCATTTCAGTCTGCTCTTGACATTCATTCTTAACTACTCTTATCACTCAATGTCCTTGCTCACCTAATCCACTTGAACATTATGTTCTCTTACCGCAAACGCCACTAATGTTCTTCAGCATCCATTTTTTACGACGATTCCTCTGCGCTTCTTTGTCATTACGAACGAGTGCTTCTGTTTTAAACAACAAACACTTAATAACATCAAATAAGTAAGGTAGGGATTAGTTTAGGCGCGGTCGAAATTCAAAATTCAAGAATATTTTTTCAACTAAAAAGCTCTCCATACAAAACCTTGATTTTCGTGGATAAGTATACCATAGTGGTCTGATCTCGAAAAATGAACAACTTCTTATGGAGAAAAGGACGTGTGCATAACTTTAGATTGATATCTCAAAAACTGACTACTCGCTGATATACAGTTAGACGGACTGTCGGGCATAGCTAAATCGTCTCAGCTCGCTGATCAATTACATATTTACATACATATTTTATGGGTGGACTTCGTGGCAATCTTAATATATCCTATTCAGGATATAAAAATTAGAACTCCTTGATTCAGGAAAATTGTTCAACAAGAATGTCGGCAGAAATTCAATCTACCCTTCGAGTTACAAACCAAAGTTGGATGAACAAACGATTATAATATGTAAAAGATTTTGCACCAGTGCATAAATGAAGCCATTCGCAGTCCTATCCTATCTTTAATGCATTCTTAAGTGCATCTCAAGTGAACTGGTAATTTATACGATCCTCACTTCACACACACAGAGACTGCTTGCATTAAAACGAATTAAGCTTAATGTCTATTCTCGGTAGTGAATTGTGAGCAAGGGTTTCACGTATGGAATTTACTGGAAATTAATTAACTAACCTTTGCAAATATTTAAGTGGGCAGTGGATAGATTGACGTAGTTCGACCTGAGTTCCAAGTAATTTAAATGGTGGCCGAAATCAAACGCCAAAGCTTGCTTGCGCAAACTTGATCGAAAAAAATCTACAAAACGCCAATTTTAAACTCACTATTTCAACAATATCAAAAGCGACCTCTCCGAGCCGTTCGATACCAAACGAGGTTTCAGGTAAGGTAACTCCCTATCGTGTGAGTTCTTCAACCTACTTTTGGAGAAAATAATTCGAGCTGCAGAACTACATAAACAGAAGAGGTACCATCTTTTATAATAGTGATCGTCTTCTGGCGTACGTCGATGATGTTGATATCATTGGCTTAAACCACCGCGCCGTTAGTTCTGCTTTCTCCGGATTGGATAAGGAAGCGAAGCTAATGGGTCTGATAGTGAAGACGAAATATTAGGTTGTCAAAGAGTCTTGCGGTATTTTCGCTAGTTGGCGCTGAGAGCGCGTAGTTCTAGTTTTATTCGTCGCATCGGGTCATGCTATACCTTTTTGGAAAGCTCATT